GGGCAAGGCTTTTTGTGCTTGCGCGGGGCAAGACTTTGGGGCTTGCTCGGGGCAAGGCTTTGGTGATTCCTGGGCGCAAAGTACACTAAAGGGCTGTTATATATATCCGAAGCTTGAATTTACTAATTTTTCGGACTGGACTTGGATTTATATTGTATCCAAGCTGCCTACGTACCCAAACGGGATCAAGCCGAACGTAGTTCATTACAAAAGAGAACGAAAAACATGCATGGGCACGCAGGCCCGCTAAACTAGAAATAAAATGCAGAAAAAGAAAATCTCCAAAAAGGCGTCAGAAATTTTACTTGTAATATATTTTTAGATTGTCGGCATTCCAGGGCCTCGGAAGAGGTCTGCCCGAGGTGTCTCTTAAGCTGTATGCTCCTTTACGAACCTGTCGTATGACCTCAAAGGGCCCTTCCCAGATGGGCCTGAGCTTCCCTGGGGGGTGGCTTGCTGCTTCGGCCCTCCTCAAGACCAAATTGCCAGCTCTGAACCTCCGAGCCTTGACTTTGCTATTAAAATGTTTCGCTGTCTTAGTTTGGTAAGAGGCCACCTTTATAGCGGCTTGCTCCCGTACTTCTTCCAAGAGATCAAGATGTTCAGTTGTATGCTCCGAGGTTTCTGGCACGAGCCTCCTATGGCATGGCAGTCTAATTTTCACTGGGACCATTGCTTCAACGCCATAGGCTAACATAAAAGAGGTTTCTCCTATGGTTGTCCTATGAGTTGTTCTGTACAAAGTATAGAAGGCAGCTCGTCAGACCAAGAACCCCTAGCATCACTTATTGTTCGGAGGTATGAGTCGTTCTGTACGTCCAAAGTATAGCAGGCAGCTCGTTGGACCAAGAACCCCTTGCATCGGTTATTCTTGTTCGGAGGTCTTGCAATATGATTCGATTTGTTACCTCGGCCAGGCCATTGCTCTGAGGATGCGAAACTGATGTCAGACGGTGATCAATCCCAAGGTTTGAGCAAACGTTTCTAAACTGTTAGTTGTCAAATTGCCTGCCATTGTCGGTGATGAGGACCTTTGGTACCCCGAACCTACAAATGATAGACCTCCAAGTGAAGGTTCTCAGCTTGGGCTCCGAAATTGTGGCGAGGGGTTCGGCCTCTACCCATTTTGTGAAGTACTCTACTGCTACAGCAACAAACTTTAATTGGCCTCTTGTCAAAGGAAAGGGGCCGAGGATGTCAACTCCCCATTGTTCAAACGGGGCCGAACAGTTAATGTTGGTGAGATCTTCGGCTGGTGAGTGGATAACATTACCAAACCTCTGGCACCTATCACATCTTTTAACATATTCTGAGGCGTCTCTGTTCATAGTTGGCCAGTAGTATCCATATTGTACGAGTTTAAAGGCCAAGGCCCTGGCCCCTTGATGATTCCCGCACACACCTTCATGGACTTCAGCAAGGGCCTGGGATGATTCTGATGGCCTGAGGCACCTTAGGTATGGAAGAGTAATACTTCTGCGAAAGAGGACACCGCTGATCATGCAGTACCTAGGAGCTCGGGCTCTGATGCTTCTGGCCAACCTAGCATCGCTTGGTAGACTTCCGTTTGTGATGAATTCTATGATCGGGTCCATCCAGGATGGTTCGTTGTCAATGTCCATGATGTCGAGGATTTGACTGATGCTGGGTTCTGTGATGATTTTTATGTGAACCGTTCTGTCAAGGCCGTCTACCCCCATGAACATAAGCCTGGATAATGCATCAGCTTTTCCGTTGTCCTTTCGAGCAATTTTTGTAATTTCACAGCTCTTGAATTTTCGCTGAAGATCCTGAACCTTCATACAGTACAAAATCATTTTCTCCTCCTTCCTTTCAAATGATCCTTCAATCTGTTCGACCACTAGCTTTGAATCGCTGAATACCTTTACGAACTCGAGTTCTAGGCCAAGGGCTAGCTCAAGAGCAATAACGACGGCCTCATACTCAGCCTCATTGTTGGTTGCTTCAAACTCGAACCTGAGAGCGCATTGGATCTCCGTTTGTTTGTCAGGGCTGATGATGATGACCCCTGCGCCCGAGCCCGAGGAGTTCGATGCTCCATCCACAAATATTTGCCAAGTGTCCAAATTAGTGCTCATGCTCGAGCTATTACCTGGCCCCCGAGGCCTGGGGGTTAGTTCTGCAATGAAGTCGGCTAGAGCTTGGACTTTGATAGATGGACGTGGTTTGAATTCTATGTCAAATTTCCCAAGCTCGATTGCCCATTTCATCAGTCTTCCTGATACGTCCGGCTTCTGAAGTATATGCCTAAGTGGTTGATTAGTGAGCACCACAATAGGGTGAGACTGAAAATACTGTCGGAGTTTCCTTGCTGCTATAACCAAGGCAAGGGCAAGTTGTTTCGCCAAAGTATACCTGGTTTCCGCGTCCAGTAAGACCTTGCTTACATAGTAGATAGGTTGCTGGACTTTGTTAACCTCTTTCACCAAGACCCCGCTAACAGCGTTTTGAGATACGG